TACAGTAATATTTTCACTTATTCTAAAAATAATATTTGCTTTTCTGATTATAAATTTACTATGTGTTCCATCTATAAAATTTAAATATGAGAAAAGTATAAAACATTAAAATATTTTAAAATTTAGTTGTCTTCTTTTTTATTCTTTTTCTACTTCTATGCATAGATAAGTTTGTTGTGCTTTTTCCTACAATGCTATATTATATGACACTATGTCAAAAATATTCTTTGACAACAAAATTTTAATGGTTATATGATGATCCATCACATAGATGCATCATATATTTTTTAATGATCCTTTTTTCTTAACATGTAAAATGTCCTCAAAATTGTGCTATTCCAAAACACACACACACAGAAGAGGAAAGACTTCACTTGAAAAATCCTTCTCATAAGATATAGTTTTTATTTCTAAGTAATATATGCTTCCCAGGTTGCTCAGCAGTAAAGAATCTGCATGTCAATGCAAGAGACACAGGTTCTATCCCTGGGTCGGGAAGACCCCCTGGAGAAGGAAATGGCAATGCACTCCAGTATCCTTGCCTGGGAAATCCCATGGACAGAGGAGCCTGGCAGGCTACAGTCCATGGGATGGCAAAGAGTTGGACATGACTGAGAGACTAAAAAACGACAGATAGACAGATAGATACATGTGTAAGTTATCTTCTTACCAAAGACTCCTAGAAATGAAGCTTCTATACCAGTGTGCGCAGACCCTTTGGAAGGCTCTTGATTCGTGTACCTAGACTGCCTCCAGGTTCCTGCACCAAGTCACACTGCTGTCCGGGACCATGGTTATCTTACCAGTGGGCGCAGACCCTTTGGGAGGCTCCTGATTCGTGTACCTAGATTGCCTCCAGGTTCCTGCACCAGTCACACTGCTGTCCGGGACCATGGTTATCTTACCAGTGGGCGCAGACCCTTTGGGAGGCTCCTGATTCATGTAACTAGATTGCCTCCAGATTCCTGCACCGAGTCACACTGCTGTCCGGGACCATGGTTATCTTACCAGTGGGCGCAGACTTTGGAAGTCTCCTGATGCATGTACCTAGATCACCTCCAGGTCACCTGCACCAGTCACACTGCTGTCCGGGACCATGGTTATCTCTGCCAGCCTAGCTCTGGTTATTACTGCTGCTAACCTGTATCCAGTTGAGAGGCGAAAAAAAATGGGGTCTTACTATATACATCATGTTATTTTCACATCTCTATCTACAAAGGAGAATGACTTTCTATTCATTTAATTTGGATTTAAATTCTTCCTTTCATGTATTGCCTTTCTAAACCTTTGCATAGCATTGTTCTTAAGATACTGATTTAAAGTAATAATGTTTTTAGAAATAAATATTCTAACACCTTTTCTTGTTAATCTTTACTACTTTTGTCTATATATCTTATAATTATTCTGTAGACATATATAAATTCTTGAACTTAAATGCTTGCCTCCCAATTCTTAAACTTATACTTTGCTAAAAAATTTTTTAGCAACGATGTAATCATTTAAAGGCTTACCTCCAATTATTTTGAATTTTTAAAATTATTTTTATAGTTAATTCTGTAATTTCTGAATTTATTTTGATGCATTTTAGTTGATCAACATTTAAGTTGTGTTGTACTTTCAAAAGTTGTTGGAGAGGGAGAGTTTATAAAATAAATTTTAGTCTATAAACTGATTATATATGCTTTAATAAATTAAATAAACACTTTATTTTACTGCTTTCTCAATAAGACATTGACAGTCACAAGCATTAGACCATATTTTCTTTATATTAGTTTCAGGAATACAACATAGTGGTCCAATGCTATGGTTTCTCCAGTAGTTATGTACAGATGTGAGAGTTAGATCATAAACAGAGTGGAGCACTGAAGAATTGATGCTTTCAAATCATGGTGCTGGAAAAGATTCTTTAGAGTTCCTTGGACTGAAAGGAGATCCAGCCAGTCCATCCTAAAGGAAATCAACACTGAATATTCACTGGAAGGACTGATGCTGAAGCTGAAGCTCCAACACTTTGGCCACCTGATACAAACTGCAAGCTCATTGGAAAAGACCCTGATACTGAGAAGATTGAAGGCAAAGGAGAAATGTGCAACAGAGAATGAGATGATTAGATGGCATCTCCGACTCAATGAATGGGTGCAAACTCCGGGAGACAGTAAAGGAGAGGGAAGCCTGGCGTGCTGCAGTTCATGGAGTCACAAAGAATCAGACATGACTTAGTGACTGAACAACAACACTCCATTTAAAGTTATTATAAAACTGTTACTGTTCAGTCACTCAGCCATGAAATTACAAAGTATTGGTTGCATTATATTGCCTATAAAGTGTTGTCTGTATTCCTCATGCTGTACTATTGTCCATATAGATTATTTATTTTACAGGGCTTCCCCTTTTGCTCAGAGGGGAAAGTGTCTGCCTGCAATGCAGGAGACCCATGTTTGATTCCTCGGTTGGGAAGATCCCCTGGAGGAGGAAATGGCAACCCACTCCACTATTCTCACCTGGGAAACCCCATGGACAGAGGAGCCTGGTGACTACAGGCCACGGAGTCACAAGAGTCAGACACAGCTGAGCGACTAAACAGCAGTGTGTATTTCCTAGCCCCATGCCACCCTCTTACCCTCCCTGCCTTCTTCTCCCCACTGATAACCACTAGTTTCTTCTCAGTATCTGTGAGTTTATTTGTTTTGCCATATTTGCTTTTACTTTTTATGTTCCCACATATAAATGATAACATGGAGTATTTATCTTTCTCTATCTGACTTATTTCACTAAGCATAACAACCACCCTGAATGCACCAATCTCATCTGACCTGGCAAGCTAAGCAGACTTGGGCCTGCTTAGGTCTTGGATGGCGCACCCTTTTGGATGATGTGGATGTTAAAACATACATATATAATTATGTAAATATAACTACACAAATATACAAACATATATCTGCTGGTCAAAATTTACAGGAAAAGGAATATTCTAGCATTTATTGGAATATCTCTATTCCTTCACTGTGTTGATGTGTCACATAGCATATATAATAGCATATATTACACATTACACATTTTCTGATCTAGTTCAGAACTACTTGTGTTAGCTCACAGATCTCTATATCCCATGCTATACCAATAAATCATTCACTGAATTTTTGGACTTTTATAATAGATGTATTAATATTTTATATATATCTGATCATGGAAGTGTATTATTTCCCTTTTTCAAAATAGTTTCTTCAAAAGTTTCTGAATAACTTAAAATTATTTTGTCCAATTTCAAATAGTTTCCCATTGAGATTTTTAATGAGGTTCAATCAATATAGGATGTATTTTTAAACATAAATAATACCTTTTCAAAACTTGATCTTTCCATCCAGGAAAATCTGTGTGTATTAATTTTTCATAGTACTTAGAAAGTGTTATAGCTTTGTCATTTCTCATTAGAATTCATTATTTATACACATTTTACTATTCCTATTGTTTTATTAAAGAAAACTTCACTATATTCTACATTCAAACTGGCATTACAAACATTTAGGTACTCTCTTGCTTCTTCATTTAGTTGTTTTGTTGGATCTTTTTATTAAATTATTGTAATTAATCTATTACAGTGAATCCTCTAGATACTTTTCAAAAAAATGAATATGATGACATCAAGCCTCCTGTTTCATTCTTTCCAATAGGTTTCAGATAAGTCAGTTCAGTTGTTCAGTCATGTCCAACTCTTTACAACCCATGGACTGCAACACACCAGGCCTCCCTGTCCATCACCAATTCCTGGCGTTTACTCCAACTCATGTCCATTGAGTCAGTGATGCCATCCAGCCATCTCATCCTCTGTTGTCCCCTTCTCCTTTCACCTTCCATCTTTCCCAACATCAGGGCCTTTTCCAATAAGTCACTTCTTCACATGAGGTGGCCAAAGTATTGGAGTTTCAGCTTCAACATCAGTCTTTCCAATGAATATTCAGGACTGATTTCCTTTAGGATGGACTCGTTTATTTCTTGTCACATGTTCTTTTTTTTCTCTCTCTCTTCCTTTTGCCTTTGACTAGAACCTCCAGAAAATTGTTTAATAGTAATGGCAGCTATGATAACACACTTTGTTATTTAGAATTTAGATGGTGCACCATGACAGCTGCATGTTTCCAAGTATTATCCTGTGAATGTTAGCTCTCCAGATGCATTGGGAGAAAAGAATTCCTTTTTTTTTTTTCCTTTAAGTCTGTAAAGCTTCTTGTAAAAATGTTTAAGGAATTGTTTTAAGAAAACACAGCACTGAAGTTGGGGAGCGTGCACACATGCTCAGGGCAGCTTGAAGAAGCCCAGCAGGGAGAAGCGTGGTTTCCTCTGTGCTGACAGCAGCAAGCTGCCCTCTCGTGTGCAGCGGGTGAGAAGCCACCACCACTCTGAACTCACGTTCCTCCAGTGAGATTTTTTTCAGAACCTCTGTTTCCAAATTCCTCCTTTCCTCTGTAGAACAACTGGTATCACTTGTTCTCATGATTTGTCAATGGTTCACCATACTTGCTTGTCCCCAGTGAAATCCCTCTGCTATTCCCCAAACTCATTTATCTTCTTCAATAAAACTGCTCTTCGCTCTGTTTAAACCTGGCATTATCATTAAAGACTTACAGTGCATTTTTTGCAGTTAAAGAGCTGAGAAATCCTGCAGTTGAAAAAGTTGTTTTTGTTTTGCTCCATTTTCAAACAGATCAGAGAATTTTTCACGGCATTTTAGTGAAAAACCATTAAAATTTACGTTTCATTGAACAGAATCAGTCATTAATTCATGTGAAACTCCTGGGTGGGAGAAGTACTCCGCCCTAGGTGCAAGCCGTAAGGGACGCCCAGCACTGGGTTGTGGGATCATGCGGTAGCTCGACTTTTAATTTTTTAAGTTGTCCATAGTGGCTATAAAAGAAAGGGCGAGAAAGAAGGGGAGGGAGGGAGGAAGAGAGGGAGAAACTTGAGGAAACAACCAAGCGCATCCCGCTGGGCCTAATGCCATCATGCATCCTTATAAGAGCGAGGTGGAGGGAGAAACAGGAAGGAAAGCGGAAGTGAACGCAAAGGCAGAAACGGAAATGATGCAAACGGAAATGATGCAGCCAGGAGTCCTTGAATGCCTGCGGCTGGAGGCCTGTCGGGGCAAGACTGAGCTGCCTGTTAGAGCCTTCGGAGGGAGTTTGGCCCTGCCAACCCCGTGATTCTGCCCTCCAGAACCATGAAAGCAAATATTTCTGTTGTCGGAAGCCAATCAATTTGCTGTCGTTTGTTACAGGAGCCAGAGAAAACTAACGCAAGAACCGCAGTCAGATTCCCAGGTAAGCAGCTCTGAAAGGCCTACTTTTTCATTTAAATAAATAAACCCACATTTGTGCCAGGTCTGGAGTACCAAATCTTTTTCTTATATTCATGGATTTCTTTTTCACTTATCAGGTCTCTTGTATATATTGCTGGTGCCACACAAATGAACTTTACTGGGTTTTGCTTTTTCAGTGATTGTCTTATGTGTATTGATTTTCCTTTAGTGATCACCCTGTAGGGTCCTTTGAACAGAGCACACTTTGATAAAAGTGCAAAAAAAACTTGATTAAACTAGTATATTCTTTGGCATCGTAGCAACCACTGAGTAAATAAGTGGTCTGGCTTGCTGAATTGGACACACTTATAATTCAAACTGCAAATTGACTGAAAATATTTTTTAACAACTGATATTTACAAAAAGAACATACATTATATATACAAATATTATACATTAGCGTAAATGCTGATCTTGAAACATGTTTATAATTACGAGAGAGAAAAACTTTTATCAGCCAAGTTATAAATCATTTCTGCATGATGAAGTTGTCAAAATCAGATTCAAATATCATTTTTGAGTCTAGTACTTTCTTGAAAGCTAAATACAAAAAAAAAAAAAAAATCCATCAGTGATAACTTGGCTTTGGGTATACCTAGATGTGAGACATCTATTTTTGCTGTAGTCCAGATGTTGCCATCTGTTTTCTATATCTTAACAGATCTAACTGTTTACGAATCAATGGTCACGAGAAATACAAGAGGCATTTCCTGGAAAAGAAGATTGTTTCTGGGCCTTAGATTGAGCCACATTAGTAGGAAAAAGCCCAAGGGCAGGCGTGGGATGAGAGTGGAGAGTTAATCAGCTCAAAAGAACAATGCCCTCAAAAATAAACTGAAATGATTCGGGCATACAGAGTAATGTCTGATAGATATTTTGGTGACCTAGTGAGTCCAGCACAGGCTGAATATGTAGAAAACCAAGGATCTCGAAAGATAATACTAGTACCCTTTTTTCCTTGAAAGCAAGTGTCTGTGCCACTCGATCAAACTGACTCCAGATCTGTTCATCTGATTTGCTGCTAGATCTCCTGTGAGCGTAAACCCTTGTCCTAAAGCTGGGGCTCCTGTGTTGTCTCCGTTTGCCGCTGTGAAATAAAAGAATGCATATCCTTTTTCTTCCTCTCTGTAATATACGCATGTGTGTGTGTGTGTGTAAAATCTGACCCCGGTTCCCGGAACAAAGCTCCTGGAGCCTGAGGAACTCCCTCAGTGTGAAGAGCACGGAGAGCGTCGTCTGTTCTAACACGTGGTCTTCGGCCCTGATTTCTGACCGAGCTTCTGCGCCCCTTGAAGTCAGTCCCCCGGGTGCTCGGAGTGTCTGTGCCTCTAATGAGGTGGCACGAGCTGGCCTCCAGGGTGGGATCTGGTCACCAGAGAAACCAAGCCATGACTAGAAGCTTTGATTTTCAGCCCTAGGCCCCATTCCCCAGAGAGAGGAGAGGGCCTAGAAATTGACTTCATTTTAAATCATGCCTCCATAAAAATCCCCAAAGTATACAATTTCTGGATTGCTGTGCAGATCTAGTGTCAGACGTAGTGTGAGTGTGATTATAGAGGGAAAAAACCAGGACGAGTGTGCTCTTCCCCACAGCCTGCCTAGCAGCAGACGTGTCTCTGTGTGCATGATAGAGTATGTTTATGTATGTTTGCATTTGCAGCTTCTATAAATAAACATCAGCCTGTGTCAAGGATGTCAAGAATTTATTGACACATTGGTAAGGGAAAGTGTTAATTCTTTTTGAAAGTTACATGTCGGTTTGCAGATTAAAAGTTCTCATACACCATTATTGTGTTCTTTCCAACAAATCAGGAAAACAAATGTATTCCTGAGTCATTCCATGTCTCAAATGTGATCACTTCTCCTAACGTCATGAAACTAGTAAATGCCAGCGTCATGGCTCAGAGCCAGGGAGACCTAGGCCTCTTATTGATTCCCCACGCTTTGCTCTGGAGGAAACTCCAGGGACATGAAGGACGGGAAAGACAAGAATGCTTCAGGAGGAGTTTGCTAGTGCATGCAAGATAGCAGCCGTGGGGCAAAACTTCTTGCAGCTTCCACATTCTTGAAACCCATCTGGTATTTCCAGCTGGTTCCTGAAAGATGCACAGACACAACGCAGAGGAAGTTCTGTGGAGAGGAAAGCACGTGGCTGAAAGAACCACCGAAAGCCCCAGGAGTTCAAGAGGCTTACCCGGACCCGCACTCTGTCCTCACCCCAAATCCCATGCTCTCAGAGATATAAAAGCTCTACTTTTTATCAATCTTATCATTTCACTGTTCCCCTCATACCCCATTGAAGCCAAATTGGGCCTCTAGAGCCTGAGACTGAATTAATTCCTGGGACAGAATTTTGATAAAGTAGAAAAGTTTTACTGTTTTGCCAGGCACAGGGGGACACAGCAGGCTAGAGCCTGCAGAGCCGTGTGTCGCGCCCTGGAGACGGCGGTGGGGTGTCTTACGGCGTCAGGGAGCAGGAGTGACCAGCTCGTGGACATTCTCCGGGTGATTCGGTGGTGAGGTCAGTAGGACTCGGAATCATCAACCTCCTGGTTCTGAGGAGTCTGGGCTCTACATGCTTGTGGACAGCAGACAGTTCACTTCTCCCACTTGGTGGGGGTTTTGATATCTACACTCTTGTCTCAAAGGTACTGTGTGAGTACCCTTGAGGGGGAACCAGGGCCCTGCCCCAAACTGCACTGCTCTTCCCTGATTGCCACTCCCTGTCCCCACGTCCCCTCCTGTCCTGACCAGCAGCTGTTTGAACTTGCTTAGAGCTCAGGCTTGCCTTGTGGCTCAGCTGGTAAAGAATCCACCTGCAATGCAGGAGACCTGGGTTCGACCCCTGGATTGGGAAGATCCTCTGGAGAAGGGAAAGGCTACCCACTCCAGTATTCTTGCCTGGAGAGTCAGACACAACTGAGTGATTTCACTTTCACTTAATCATTCATAGAACACTTGTTGTTTACATTATCACATTACACTTTCTGCACAGTGCTTTGAATTGGATGTTAATTCTATCTCCATTTTAAGTCTTAGGTTAGCAACAGTAAATTATTCAGAATTGTATTTAGAAAATAGTATATGCCGTGCTAAAATATAGGTCCTTTGGCTGTCTTTTTCTTTCTGATCTGAGAAGCTTCTATATTTAACTTATATACAAATTTCCCTTACTGAATGAAGAAGAAATAAGAGCTAAAATGTATAATGAATAGGGAAGGTAGAAGAATATACCTTCTTTAGTGAATAATGTTCAACCTGAGCTTTCTGTAAAATCCATTCCCAATTTCCACAGCATCCACTCTCTGGATCTGAAAATCAGCTCTGAAATACCTGACTTTAAAAAATGATAGTGAACTAGCAATGTATTAGAAAATAAGCAGAGTGTAATTCTACAAATTGAGAAGGAAAGGAACTTTGCTAAACACCATGAGGCTTAGACCACAGACTAGTCCCTTTTTATGCATGGTTTCACTTTCTCTGGTTTCTATTACCTGGGTTCATCCAAGGTCCAGAAATACTAAATGGAAAGTTCCAGAAATAAGTAATACATTTTAAACTGCGTGCTGTTCTGAGTACTGTGATGAAACCTCCTGCCATTCTGCTCTGTCTCACCTGAGTTCTCCAACCATTGACATCATCCACTCCTGACATCCAGCCATCAACTTTGTCACAGTTCAGTGGTCCAGGATCACCAAAAGCAAGTGATCCCCCTTCTGACAAATCATCAGAAGGTCAGTAATAGCCTAATATAGTGATCAAAATGCCTCCATCATTCATTTCACTTCATCTCACCAAGTGCGTACACCATCATCATAAGAAGGTGGGGAAAACGGTACAATAGGATATTTTGAGAAAAAGAGACCACATTCACATAGCTTTTATTACAGCATATGTTATAATTGCTCTATTTTATTCCTATCTCTTGTTGTTAATCTCTGACTGTGCTTAATTATAAGCTAAACTGTCTCATAGGTGTATTTATAGGAAAAAAACAGTAGGGAGCCATTTTCCACATTTTCTTTCATCACTACCTTGCTGAATTATTGACTCCAGTTGTTCAATATCTTAAAACAAAATATAACTTAATTTTTGAGTACCTAATATTAAAAAGACACATGCTGACTATATATTTATTTCCTCAAAAAACAAATGCATAGCTATAACATGTCAGTCAATAAATCTGTTGTTAGGAGACTGAGGTAAAAGAAATGTTAACATTATTTGCTTTCAGGGAGCTTACATACTACCAATGTATATACCAAATATATGTATACTACTATGCATATACCAAATATATGCATGAAAATATGCATATATTTATAATATAGAGTGGGGTTATAATAACTGAGTTATGGGCAATTTTATTTGGTAGCAACCAAGTGAGAAATAATTATCTCCAACTATAATTGTTGAAGGAGGCTTCACATAACAATCAAATTGATCTTAAATTTTGGCTTGAAGCTTGTCAGATAAAGAAAGGGTGCAGAATGAGGCGTTTCAGGCACGTGGGTAGAAACAGCTATGTGGGAAAAGCAGGGTGTGATTGAGAGTGGAACATTCAATGAGCTGTGACTTTTCTAATATTGGCTGCGTTGAGCCAGAGGCAGAGTTCCCAAAACAGAAAAATGACTAGCCAATAAAACAAAGTCAAGTTTATTGCTTAGCTCAGGAAGAGGTATTCTTCCCCAGTAGTAGTCATGGACAGAGTGAAGAGCAAGTTTGGATTATTTATTGAGATTTTAAAATCAAGTTTAAGGTCTTTAAATATGAGAGTTGTGATTACATATAATTTTGGATTTGTACACAGCAGCAAGGCAAGTATTTTGAAGCAAGAGGTT